GCGATTCGCGTTTCGCTCTTTGCTTTTTTTTTCAAATTTATTTTCCACTCCTCGGCGCTGCCCCTCTGTGTTTGCACAGCCCGGCATCCCGTTGAAGGATAAAGGCGCGCGCTTAAATAAGCAATTACCGTGTGCCAGCGACCAGCATCCTGTCAAAGCGTCCTGCCCAGCGTCCTGCCGAAAAAATATCAAAAAAATAAAAGAGTAAAAGGGTTGAGCAGCCACTCGGACAGGACAAAGCGCCGCAGAAAAGGGTTCGAAAAAAGGGGAAGAAAAATCGGGCAAAAAAACACACAGCCCGCCCGGCTGTCGGTTCTGATTTAAATCTTTGGCCATGACATGTGGCGACCAGACAAGGTCCACCCTGCAACCCTTTCCTTGCCCGGCATTAAAGCACTGCTTCTACTGCTGCCCGCTAAAAATGTCGTTTTATCGATTCTCAGCCAGCTTTAAAAACGACAGAAACGGTCAGACAAGTTCAAGTTCAACACTGGGTAATTAATTTGCCAGAAGCCGGCCAAAGCGACGAGTAAAGTGCGTGCCAGGCTCATTAGCATGGGACCCCGGGAAAAGGGTCATTGTGCTTTTAATTGGAAAACATTCCAAGGACGAGTACGACGCGGCCAGCATGAAAACTCATTAAGATTTCCGCACAACCCTTTTTTCCGCCGGCTTTTCTGACCCACTTTTTGCTGGGCCAGCCGGCGCTGACCTTCTTGTCCATGGATCGTAATTAAGCAATTAGCCGGGCAACACTTTCGCCCTTTTGCCATTCCATTGGTGCTCGCAGCTTGTTAACTGACCCACGGCAAGGTGAAGTGCTTTGGGCCAGGTGTGTAAAAAGGCAAAGGCTTTTGGCCTCCCCCACTCTTTTCACTCTTTTCACTCGTTCAACTCTTTTAACTGGCTTTCGTATCTGTGGCTCTGCACTTCCTGTCATTCGTTTTGGAAATCGCGACATCGTGATTGCATTTGGCATATGCACATGTGAACTCGATGGTGCAGCTGGCCGAAAGGACGGCCAACAACTGGCCATTGGCCATTGGCCATTAACCATTGGCCAAATGCAGTGGCAGTGGCAGCGGCAGTTGCAGTTCCCCCTTTGCGGCATTGACACATTTTTTTCGTTTCATTTCTGGCGATGGGGATGTGTGTGTTCCCACGCTTCACTGACCCGACGCAATGGGGATTTTGTTAAATGGTCAAGATCTGGCGGATTTCGGAAACCGTATCTTTTCCTAGATCATTGCTTGCTAAAAAAACAGAGTTATCTCAATCACTGTTTGAATAATATATATCATAATTTATGATATAACAGCAAATTGATTGGAGTTTTCCGTGGCTTTTATTGAATAAAAGTGTAACTTGTGATGGTCGTTTTTATTCTTGGTTTTAAATTTGTTTAATATATTCTATTTTTTATAAAAAAAATAGCTAAATTATAAAAACCAAGATGAAATCATATTTATAATTATATTTGTTATTATACCTCAACTTGTTAATTTTTTGTATTAATTTAAAACAGGCAGTGCGAGGATTGTATTGTATAAAAGTGATTTTGTTCCTTTAAACTTAAATATGAATTTAATTTAATTAATATCATATCATAGTTTATAGATATCAAAGTACATCAGTGAGTAGAAATATTGACGATATCTAAACTATCTATTAATTTTAATCTACCTTTAACCTTTTTTTTGATGTACTTCAAAACCTTTCTAACAATGATTGATTGATTGGTTTCTGTTTCCTCGACAGCAGGTGCATTTTGCTTCTTATTTTTGGCCGCGTGGCAAAGGCAGCTTTGATCGATCGGGACATTAGAAGTCCACTTGATCGCATCTCTTGAACTTGATTTATGGTCGCAGGCTCCGATCCTTTCGATTTCTTGCTGAAGGACAGGGCCATAAATTAGATCGCATTTGCGATAGAAGGGCAAAAAGTTCAGTAACGCCGTAATTTGTTCCTCGCCAGCAGCTTTAAGGACGAAGCGACGGCTAATGAGGCGCTTTGCCAGGCACAAACGTAACCCGATCCAAGGACTTTGAGGGGTTTTTGCAGGACAGTGTAAAAAAATGCTGCAATATTTCTTCAACATGTTGGTAAATTATTGTAAAAATTCTATGTTCCTTGATTAACCCAAGTCATTTATTATGCTTCTTTAGTATATTTATTTATTTTTATATATTATAAAATCAACTTAAAGTTTATGTGAACATAACATTTACTTATAATAACACTGAATTGCTGAGACAAAAATGAATTTGTGTTTGACGTTTTACTTCGAGGATAAAAAATATGAAAATACTTCTAGCCTAATTTAGCACTTCAGAACTTTTTTAAGTTGAAAGCTAACTGATTGATAAATTCAATTTTGTTTACATTGAGATATTATTATATTTGTTTTTGTCCTGTTACTTTTAACCAGAGTTTTATAAAATAATTTTGTTTAATTATATATTTTTTTTGGTTATTTTTGTATTATTTTTTAGCAGTGTAGGGGCCAAGGGCAGGGACCCGCATTGCTGTTTACCGTTGCATTATGCTCGCTGCCTGCCGCTTGCCTGATTTTTTGAGGGCCTCTCCTGCACTGAACCGTTCATCGTCGGCGGCCATGGCAAAGGTCATGGGTGGGGCTCAAGGGACCCAAGGGGGTCGGTGGTTGGTGAATGGTGGATGGGGTGGGGGGCGGTGGCTTAGCAACAATTGCGGCACTGCTGAACCAGGCTTTTGTGCCGCTGCTCGGTTTCCAACCGCAAATATGTTCTTGATCCCCTTCCTTATTCAGTTGGTTGTTTTTTATTTTCGCATTCTGCATTTGCTGCCATTGCAAAGTCAACTAATTGAATGTGCTAAACTCACCCACACAGGCACAAATATCGCGTTATATGGCGCATTAAGCGCTCATTTCTGGATTTCTTTCCTGACCCTGATGAATCCATCTGCAGGACTCCTCTAAATCCACCGAATCCGCCCTGCACTGAAAGAAGCTTTAACTAACTTTCTCTTTACTTATAAACAATTGCTAAAAACCCTTTTTTAACAGATTTTATTATCTTGAAAATCAATATTATGGGAACTCAATACATCGATTAGTACCTTTTAAAATTTAAATTGTAAGTTCATGTTAATCTGCCTCCCCCTAATTAAGAGATATTAATATTAATTATTTAAATTTAAATGTTTACCTTTCTAAGATGAAGGATTTATATGTACATATAACAAACAAAACACATTAAACAAATTTTTTCAAAACTTTTTAGTTATAAAAATATTAATGATTTTGAATATATCGAGATTTGTGGAATGAAATAAGCGATTTTGTGCTGTGTGTGTGTGGGTGGCCCTCCCACCATGACGATGATGTTGATGACGATTCCTCCATTTCTCGCTGCATTTGTATGGGTAATTACGGTGGTGTGTGTGAGTGAGGGACGTTTGCTGGATGTCCTGAATGTCCATGGTTAAGGGGATGGAATTCTGCTCGCAGTTTTTTTCTATATACACAGTTTTTTAGCGTTTTTTTTCCAGCATTTCAGCAGCCTGTCTCTTTCGCTCCAATGACAACAGACCACCCTGCCCACGTTTTTTGTTTTTCTCATTTTTTTTTCTCATTTGTTTTTTGCGTTTTACTTGCGTCGGAAACCGCCATTTTTTATGCGCGCTAACTACGCCGCCCTCTCTATTCCTCTCTCCCTCCCTCCCTGGCAGCCCCTCTCTGTCGCACTTTGTAAGTGTAAGGGAGGCGCACCCTCACAATGGAAATTCGCGCATTAGAAAAAAATGTGGGCTGTGCTCTGTGGTAGAAGTGTGAGTGTGTGTGTGTGTGTAGAGGTGTGCGGCATACAAAATGGGGTTTTTTTTAGATATTTAAGTATCGCCCTTATTTTAATTATATTTAATAATGGTCGATATCGATGTAACATGAAAACAATTTTGTGCAAAATATTTTTACCACTTACATTGTAGACTAAAAAATTGCGGAGTGAAGCCAGTTGGTAAAACTGTTTTAATTAAAATACTTGACAAATAAATTGCTTTTAGCAACCAAAAAAAAAAAGTCTATTCGGAAAAATAAAAATGGGTGCAAGCCCAAAATATGTATAATTAAATGCTTAAGGCAATTTTAAAATTATTTTAAGCCATAAATAAGATGGGTTTATTTTTTGAAAGCATTTTATATAATAAGTTATAAGTTTAAACGATAAAGTTAGCTATTAAGCTAGTGATTACTCATGAACGATGTTGATAAAATACCATTTGAAAACTTGTTGTCATGCTATATTTGCTTATGAAATGTTTTTAAGCATTACACAAAATATTTAGTCCAATTGAAGTTATATATCGGTTCGGACCGCTTCCCAGACTTAAAAACCGTCAATATTCAAATTTAAATCCCAAACGTACTAAAATTTGATAGCAGGGTGCACAACTGCGGTATGTGTCTTTGCTTTTGCTTCCCTTTTCTGTTAAAAGCAGAGCTCTGTTAGAGGCGCTCGCTATAAACAGATGGTGTTAAGAATTTTAACAAGAATTGGAGTGGAACCAGGCTAGTTGTGCTAGAAATGGAGTGGAACCAGGCTAAGTTAGCAAGAAAAGGAGTGGAACCAGGCTAAGGTTGCAAGGAATGGGGTGGAACCAGGCTAAGTTTGCAAGAACTGGAGAAGTTAACAGTGGCAAGAAAATATCGTTAGAAACGGATTAGCATAGACAAGCTCTGACAAACATCCAAAAGAGCGACTTATTGAAAACGTCGATCTTGGCATCGATATTCCCCCACCTCCAGCGGTGAATTTGCGTACGTGTGATGGGTTTGTGTTTTGCAGTGAAATGTTAGCGAAACGTCGCACTAACAGCAAAATGTAAGCGAAACGTCGAACTAACAGAATGAGAGAGTGTTAAGTTAACAGTGGCAAGAAAATATCGTACGAGACGGATAAGCATCGATAGTCTCTGTCAAACATCGATAGGACCGATATTTTGAAACCATCGATGTTTCTCCACCCCTAATCGAAAGCCACCTGATTGAGCGAAACTGACTGGCAAAACTTAAAACATAAATAAACTTTTTAATAGTGCGGCCAAGACATAAACAGCATTGTTGCGATTTCGTTGGGGACGCGGCCGCAACAACTCCGCTCCAGTGCAACAACAACGCAGCACGCGGAGATCAGCAGAAGTGCAGGCAAATTGGGAAATCCCCGGAAAATCGAACGAAATGAAGAGCAACGTTAACCAGGGCGGTTACGCCCCACCCGGTTTTGGATCCGGATACCAGCCAAATGCTCCGCCTGCCGAGGGATTCGGCTACCCACCGACCCCCAGTGGCGTCCACTCGGTTCCCTACCCCCTCCCCAGAACCCCGGTCAACAGCAGCCGCCGCCGCCCGTGAATTACGTGAGTTCCGAAAGTGTCCCCTCTTTAGCGCTTGAAATGAGTGGCTAATGAAGGGGGTGGTGGTCTATAGGGTGCTCCTTGCACACGCACCCCAACCATGACGTCATGCCAGCTCATATTTGCTTATTTTTAAACCAAAATCACATAATGGAGGAGATTCATTCGATTTGCTACACGCGATTCCATGGAATCAGCGGATAAATATAAACAACAGCTTTTTTTTTGCCCAGGCAAACAACTGCGATAACAATGTTGTCATAAAACCAGTAACGCAGGCTGATTAAACAAGTGGAAAGTTGAATGCTCTACGTAAATTTATTCCAATATTTCTATATTTCATATTCAATCTATAGTATATAAATAAAGAAAGAAGTATTTTAAATTGCATTTAATGTAAAGTTATTATTTTAATTGTTAGTAAAATGGTTTCAAACTGGAAATTGTTTTATTTTGATACAAGCAAAGCGGGTTTTTAAAAAATACCCAGTAAACGCCTTTTAATATTTAATATAATCAAAAGTTTTATTAATATCAAATAGAATAGAATTTTGTTATATATTTCAAACTGGATGCATTTTGAAGTCCTAAACTGCTAATTAAAGGCGGGCTCTGAATTAAAAGTTGAATTTTCAACCAAAGGCTTTATTTGTGCTTTATTTTTATTATTTATTATTCACTTATGCTGTACTTTATATGTTGAAAAGCCTCTAGGGAGGAAACGTGCCGATAAGTAGAGCTTTAAAACTGGCCACGTCAGAGAACTGACAATTTATCACAACGCCCACAAAAAAATTGTATATGTATGTATGTTACTCATTTACCTCTCAACACTCGATCGTTGCAGGGCTTTTCGCCGGGTCCCCAGCAAGCCGGATACGCTCCAGTTCCCCAGATGCCGCCGTACGGAGACGCCCCGCCCTATGGAGCCGGACAACCGCCCTATGTGGGCGGCGGAGGTGGTCAACCACCCTACGTGGGTGGCGGGGGAGGACAACCACCTTATGCCGGCGGAGGCCCACCGCCCCAGGCCTTCGGCGGATATTCCCCCGGACCAGCAGGCCCTCCACACGCATTCGGAGGCTATCCACCGGGACAGCCCCATCAGCCCATTGTCACGCAACCGGGAATGGGACCAGGAATGGGTCCAGGAATGGGTCCAGGAATGCAACCTGGAGTGGCACCTGGCGGACCAGCAGGTAAGTAATCGGAACCTAGAATTAATGCCAAAAAAAAAATCGATTTCAAATTTATGAGCTTAAAACCCTTTTTGTGAAGACCACAGCATTTAAAGGGGGAAGTCGAAAATAACAAAGGATTTTTTTATTTAAAAAGAAATCTTAAAAATATTTGGAAAGACATAACATTTGTTTTACAAACCAATGCCATCATTACTTTCGCCTAGAGTATTTTGACCTGATTACTTAAATAAACAGTTCAAAACAAAAATAATTTTGCATTACCCAAAAAAAACCAAATAAATGTCCTAAAAGATGAGAATAGCCCCTGTTTTTTTTAGGAGGAATGACCTACAAAATGAGTCATATTTATCCTAACACTAATGGACTAAGCTCATTTTTAAAGGTCATTGTTGTTAACATTTTTATTGTTCCTGATAAAGTTATGTTCCTTGAACTACTCTTATCAAAACAAATAATAAATGTATTATTTTCGACTTCCGCGGTTAAATGTCTTTTCTCTTTGTGATCATTCATCATATTCATATCTGATGTTATCTCTTATATAATCTTGCTACGTAATACTCCGCTATCGGATTATGTTAGGGTTCGGCTCCTTGAATCAAAACAAAAGCGCATCTCTGTGTGCTGGAGGTGTCATTGCCCTGCGACTGAGATAATGTCCAATCAGTTGTCTCAAGTCTTCTCGGAGTGCATCCACTGAACTCATCATCGCAGATCGAGGTGCATAGCTAGTCCAGATCGGTGGAGAACAGGGGGTGCCCATCATCTAGCATGAAACCCGAAAAGCAAAGTGGGGTGCAAACATTTACCTAGCCACTTGGGAGAGTGTTAGAGATCTCGAGGTTCTTAGACCGTCTGTTCTTATCTGTGTTTTTGTTTACACGTGCCTTGATCTGTGCGAAATGCGCTGAAAACCGTGTCAGATCTTTGGCGCTTATCGGAAAGCGGAACGTCCGCCTTAATTGAACCAATAAAATAATACAAAGCGGCATTTAAAACGCCCCTCCGTCATGGATGGCGTTGATTTTTCCCCGACGAGCAAGAGCGGTGCTTCAGTTAGTTCATCTCTGTGCAGCTGAGCAGGCGGTCGTGTCTCAAAAAGTCTAGTAAAATGTCCACCGAAAATCCACTGAGTGGCGTTTCCACGCTGGACCTGAGTGCCAGCGAGAATCGGGGCAACGCGGAGGAGTCCCACGGCTCAAGGAGCGTGAGGAGCGGCTCAAAGGTGCTGCGCTTCATCTGGCACTCGCTGTACAGCCAATACAACCAGCTCTGCTCGAGATCCCAGACCCTGAAGCAACTGGTCTCCCGGGAGGCCAACAAGCCGCTGCCCAAGAAACTGAGGCACTCCATGCGGCTGAACAAGTCGGCCAAGCGAAAGGGATACGAGTACTACATCAGCGACGAGGACAGGAGGTGAGGAGGTCATAGGGTCATGGGTCTTGGGTCGAAGGGTTTAATTAAATATATACCGTCTATAGTTTACCAATCTTTCTTTGTGCCCTTTAAAAAGTATAAGTTTTCTAAGAAAACTATCATACAATCTAGGCAAAGATAAGTGAGTTGCCAAGTCAGTATTAATTCATAATTTTAAAGTTACAGAAACTTTAAATTTACATTAAACAAGGGCTTTAAAAAGATCAACCCAAAAAATAATACCCAAGATATAATAAAAGTTTTTTTAATCAATTTTTATCAGATATTCAAAGCGATATAATTTAAAAATCTAGAGAAGTGTTTCTAAAACTATTAATTTAAGCAAGCAAATAGCTACGCGATTTTAATGCAAGTAAGCTTGTCTAAACTATAATTTCATAAAAAAAAACTTTTATATGAGTCGAATGATTATTATTATAGAGTCAGCATCCAAGCACCTTTTTGTGTCAATATTTTTTCGATAAGCTTTCTCTACTGTAGTTAGGTGCGAAAAACTTAAGTCCAACCACTTTTGATCTAAAAACATCCCAATTATGCAAATCATTTCAAGGTTGCTCACGTTGTGAAATTGAAGATTTATTGGGACGTTTATCTTTAGAGCCCGTGATATAAAGTATATCTTAATCGCTTAGATTAGATTCAAGAGCAGTGGCGCACTAGCCAGCATAATAGCTTGTGGCCGGGCGGTTGTCAATGGGACATTCAGGAGGGGTCTGCTCCATTGTAAAAGCCTCCAATTAGAGGGGCCAAGCAATTGTGCCGGCGACATTGACCAATTGACACACTGCCAACTGAACGAGCTGAACAAGATGCCCTTTTGTGTGGACTAATTCAATTTACCCATCAAGATTACACCAAGATAAATAGTACATAACATTCCAATACACAATAGAATAATTTAGAGTTTTCTATTTTAAGATCATATTTTAATCAACTTAATTTTAAGAGTCCAAAAGAATCATTATTATGTTAATTTTAAGTTGCTTAACGTTTGTTTAAATTAATTAAAATATTTTTGCAGGAGACTGGATGAGTATACCTACCGGAATTCCGAACTGTCCGCGCGGATTGGAGTACCTTACGACTATCGACCAGCTTTTAGTTAAGCAGAAGGTCGAGCTGCTCGAGGCCTTCACCGGTTTCGAGACCAACAACAAGTTCTCGATCAAGAACGCCCTGGGCCAGAAGGTCTATTTCGCGGCGGAGGACAACGATTGCTGCACGCGCAACTGTTGCGGTCCGGCGCGTCCCTTCGACATGCGGGTCTTCGACAATTTCCAGCAGGAGGTGATCCACATGCACCGGCCGCTGGCCTGCTCCTCCTGTCTGTTCCCCTGCTGCCTGCAGAGCATCGAGGTCTCGGCACCGCCCGGCAACGTCATCGGCACCATCGAGCAGGAGTGGTCCATCTGTTCGCCCTCGTTCCGGATCCTCAATCACCTTGGCGACACGGTGATGCGCATCGAGGGACCCTTCTGCACCTTTTCGCTCTGCGGCGACGTTGAGTTCAATGTATGTTTGTGACACTAATATATATATATATTAAACAATTTTATTAACAATTACTATTGTTCAGGTTGTGTCGCTCACCGGCGAGAAGGTCGGCAAGATCTCGAAGCAGTGGTCGGGCCTGGCACGTGAGATTTTCACGGATGCGGACTTCTTCGGCATTAGTTTCCCGCTGGACTTGGACGTGCGCATGAAGGCCGTATTGCTGGGGGCCACATTCCTCATCGTAAGTGGTTTCCTTTGGTTAGAGTTACATAGTAATCCAACGTTGGCCTCTGCCACACAGTTGTATAGCGTTCACTTTTATCGATTCAAGCTGTTGAGGCGTCTGCAGCGCAGATTTCGTTGGTGCTGAGGTAACATTTAAGCCCCCAGCCCATCAAATCCTCCAGCTTAGTTTGAGTAGGCTAACCCAGCTGCAGCTCCGTGATCTGTATCCGCATCTCAGACTAATTGTGTGTGCTTCTCTCTGTCCCACAGGATGCCATGTTCTTTGAGAAGTCTGCCAACCAGGAAACCGATAGACCCGGAATGCTCTAGGAACCATGTGGTGGCTTGTTCTGCGACTGTTTATGCGAGGCGGCTGGTTGTCTTAGCGAAGTTGCCGAATGCTGCACCGACGATTAAATGTTGTATACTATCTTTGAGTTGCCGCTTTATCCAAATTTCTTCCCTGTGAACTGTCGCGAACTAGTCTTCTGTACCAAATGCTTCGTTGATTTTTGATAGACAAACTGATAATCAAACCTATTCAACTCAGGCTCCCTTCAACGGGACATCGCCAGTATATGAAACTAATGTTAAGTTATGAAGCATTTTTGCTATTTCGCCTCATCATCGAATTATATTTATCGACAAATCTGCTTCATTTATGAATTTACACCGATGCACACTGAAGCAAGAACTAACTAACGAATGGCTCGTTATAAAACCATGTACTTTAAACTGTATTTTGAGTGTCTTAGGTATAGACAATATATTATATATACCAATGTTTACTGCTAAGCTGTCAGGAAGTTTATATTTACCCTTATTGATAACACAGATAAAAACCAAATCCATGTTTTCTTTCTATTTATATGGTCTAATAAATCATTAATAATAAATTTGTCCCTACAATATCTTATCTGCTTAAATATGGCATATTCATGCAGAGCCCGATCTTACTGGCCTTTCACGTTTTATTTTGAGCAATTCATAACTTATATTTTATTGTAAAAATATATAAAATTGTTAATGCCATATTCAACGAAAGATCAGCCATTCGAAAATTTTATTTTTAAGTGTGGGACTACAAAAAAAAAACCTATTTGTGTCATAAAGTGTAAGTTGCACTCTTTGGGCAGACATTAGAACGGACATTAATGTTCTTAACCAAATTATTTTTAAAATACTTTGTGCATAAATACTTTAAGTAAATTTAAATGGCAGATAATACCTTGGTTGGTACTACTATTTATAGACGCAGTTTTGAAAATTTATGGCTTTAAATTTCAACTTGGAGCTCTATAAAGCTATACAAAAACTGTGTTTTTGTAAACCAATATGGGCACTCCATTTAATGACTTTTATTGTCAGCTTTCCTTATATTTTATTTTCTCGGTTGAGAACTGATTTCCTTTCGATATCAAGAAGACCACCTCTAACCCATCAGCTGATTTCGTTAAATTCGATCGGAAACCGGCTCCTCAAGAGAACTGAAACGAGTTTGATCTGATTAAAAATAAACTCAAATTAAAGCAACGCACTTGGCACACAACTTGTGCCAAGTTTAGTTGCAAAAATGCAGGCATTGCGAGTTCTCATCGGTCTGCTTGTGGCCGGAGTGTTGGGAAAGGATCTGCAGGAGTGCGAGGACCTGGGAAAAGGCAGCCATCTCTGTCGGGAAATCGAAAGCTTTGAGCAACTGAGTCGTTACGTTGGGGAAAACTGGCGCAGTGTAAAGGTAGTGAACGAGCACACAGGCATTGAAAATGCAGAAGATGGCGAGTTGCAGGGTCTCTCCAGTCTGCTGCACTTGGATTTATCTGAATCCGGGGGCGTTACACTGGGAGAAAGGGGACTGCAGGACTTTGGGGCTCTGCAGGCACTGAATCTCACCCACTGTCAACTGGAGGAGCTGCAGTCGCAGAATTTTCCCAATAATTCTCAACTAACCAGTCTGGATGTGAGCTACAATGACATACAGATAATCACGGCCAAAGTGATGAGCGGATTGGCCAACTTGGAGTATGCCAACTTTTCCAACAACCTGATAGCAGAGATAGAACCCAATGCCTTTAAGGATCTCAAGAAACTGAGATTTCTGGATCTGACCACAAATGAGCAGGAGAACGTGACTCTGGGCGAGAATGCCAACTTGCGCTACCTGTCCATAAGTAACAACAATGTGAGAGATGTGAGTGATCAAGATATTTATATAGAAATCATTTTAAGACCATCATATAACTATTATTTTTAACCCCCAGTTTCAATGGTGTCGCCTGCGTGGATTGCCCAAGTTGGAGGAACTGCACCTGCACAGCAACTGGCTGGAGAACCTGGAAATGGGCGTGTTCTACGCCTTGCCAAAACTGAGGGTCTTGAATGTTTCCAACAACAACTTGTATGAGATCAAGCGAACGCTTTTCTTGGCCCCCGGCGAAGTGGCACCATTGGAGCTGCTCGATTACAGCTCAAACAATGTCAAAGTTCTAGAGGATTCGGTATTTTGCAAGCTCGGCAACTTGAAGACCCTCAATCTGTGGCTCAATCAGATCAAACGGATCCATCCGAGGGCTTTTCTTGGACTTGCATCCTTGGAATCCCTGCAACTGCAGGGCAATAAAATCTCGATTCTGCCCGAAGAAGTGTTTGCCAATCTCACGGCCTTGCAGAAATTGGATTTGAGTAGGAATAATATCAAAAAGTTGGGTATGCAGGTTTTTGGGGCAACTATTCTGCGTAAGCTAACCTACTTGGATTTGAGTAACAACTTCATTGCGGAGCTGCATCCTCTGGCGCTTTCTTCGTTACCCTTTATCAAGGAACTAAGGATGAGGAGAAATAAGTTAATTAGCCTGGATCTGCGTATGTTTGCACCTCTGAGACGATTGCAATGGCTGACGATCGGTGAAAATCGACTCGAGGAGCTTGAGTCCGAAAATCTGGACACCTTTGAGAAACTCACCCACTTGGAAATCAATAACAATCGACTCACCTTTCTGCCGGATCTGAAGTCATCCGAAGGTCTTCAGAACTTGGGGCACATCAGTCTGGAGGGAAATCCTTGGCAGTGTCTGTGTCTGGACGAGATCACCGCCTGGTTGAATGGCCATCAGGTGGCTTACGCTCGACCCAGCAGCGCCTATTTCAGTGGCAAGAAACCCCTCTGCGTGGTCACGCCCATGGAAAAATGCCTGCGTCTCATCGATGAGGTGAGGGCTCAGGGAATCGTCGAAAGCTACGAGAAGATATAGACTTTATAGATATAAGCATTTTGGATTTACCCTTCTTAAGCCAGGGTTTCAGTTCTACACACGTTTTCTTAAGAGGATCATGACACTTACTCCTTTTAAATAAATATAATTAAAGTCTTATTTAATATTAAATTACGTTTTTTGGTTAGATTTAAAAAGAGAAACCCAAAAAAGTCCTTACTATAATTTTCATTTATAAACTGACTAACAAAATACTTTTTATATTGAAATCAGTCAAAATGAAAAACAAATAAAAATCTATTTACTCTTGGAAACAAATAATAAAACCTTTTTTGGTCCAGAAATTTCTTAAAAATTAAAGTCTTTAATTACTATTATTTACAGTCCCTGTTAAACATTAATTTAAACCATAACTTTAAATTTCATATGTACTTAAGCCTGTTTAAATTAAATTAATTCATTCGAACTTAAATTAGATTTTCTTAAAAAAAAAAACTGTGTTAAATCCATAAGAACTCCTGATTTTGAAACTCATTGGTCTGGCCAGTTGAGGAGTAATAAATCAATATCCACTAAGTGCCGGGCTGCAGTTTCTGTTGTGGGTTCCGCTCCGCTCCGTTGACTGACTGGCCGTCCGCCGCAGGATCCTTGGAGAAGCTACCGTAAATCACTGACAATTGGATGACCATGAGAGCAAAACTTTTAGCCAGCCAAAGTATTTGGCCAACTGCCGTAAAACAATAAAACGGAAGGCATGCGATGGGTGGCGGAAAACCGAAGCAGAGATTTTCAAATACTTAACACCACTTAGGCGAACAGTTGGACAATGACAATGACTGAGGATTGGGAATTGTGAATTGAGCATTGAGGATTGAGAATTCCGAGTGGCAAAGGTGGGGATTTGATTGTTAAGCGTAATTTAGCGCAAGAATTTTTATTAAAATTTCCAATTTGTTTGCAGATAAACTTTTACGCCAGCCGCAACGAATTGACTGATTGACAGATGAAATGGGACTGGTAAGCGGTAGAAGTTTGGCACCAGTTGGGTAATGAATCAGGCAACGGGCATGATAAGCGAGTTATGAATGGCTGAATTTACCAGCCGAGAATGCCGGGGTTTTCCCATTACAACCGAACAAGTTTCGCCCACCCATCTTGGTGCACGAATGCATAGTCAACTGTGTGAATGGGTGGCAGGGTCAGAGCAAGTCGGGCACAAGTATTCCAGGTATTCGCACAAAAGGACAATGGACCCGGGAAGTTGGCAACCAGGACAAGTGCAGTCAATGCGCAATTACGGGCATAAAGGGCGCAACATGCCATATCCTTGCTCAACAGCTGCCATAAAAGTTTTACTTCGGCCGAGGCCTTAAAGCACCTCAAAAACACATTCGGAGTGGACTAATTAAATTAAATTTTCGGTCTCACATTCGCCCAAATGAATTAAGTGCCCTGCCAAAGGTGAAATGTGAAAGGTGAAAGGTGAAGGTTTCCTTGGCGATTCCTGCGGTCAGAGTCCGTTCAATTAATTTAGCAAAGAAACGCTGGTCGTTCGTGCTCTTGTTTGCCCAATTTGATAACCGAAATGGCCGGAGTTCCGCTCCACTCCACTGCGGACATGACAAACCTGTTGCTCCTCCCCGGGGAAATTTTCGGCGAACCCTCATCAAACTGGAATGAAGCTCCGCCGAGGTGTCAAAGACATGCCGGCCATCAATTTCCCACAGATCGCAACCCCTGTCGACTGCGTAATATTCTCTAAAATAAATTCAAATTCAAATTTAAACCCATTCCCATTCACAAATTCACATCCGTTGCTAGGTGGTTTTGCCTTTTATTTTTTATTCTATAGTCGGCTGGAGTGGCCACTGCATTCTCATTTTGTTTGGTTAATTACGTTCACGGCTAATTGCATTTCTGTGGCTTAAATGGCCACAAAATTTGTTAACAAAATATTTGCTAAAACATTTTTGCACAATTAGCCCCGGTCATTGTGTGCTGCATTCCGCCTGTCCGTGTTGTGCACATCCATTATGCGCATTGCTGCTCCGCAATACATCGGAACTGGACGAGACTTCAAATTACAGCATGTGCGATTTTGTGGTCGATTGCACTTTCAATTATCACCCTCGGCACTGCTTCAAACTGAAAGTTAAACCTAAACATAAAATACAAACAATTTATTTCTTTTAAATTAGACCTTTTTTCTAACTTTTACTCAAATATTACTTAAATATTAATTTGTATGCACCACGAAAACCACATTACTTGATTTTAGGAAAAAAATCTTTAAGAAAAATAAATTACCTTAAAAATGGCCTGCTACCAAAACTTAAGACATTTTTGAGGTCATGTTTTCCCAAAATTTATGAAATAATATAATAAGGGAATTTTTTATGTGGGTGTAGTTCTTGCTTACTTAAAAACATAGAGTAATCTTCATAGAGTGGAAAACTATTATTGTTAATCGAAAAATATTTAGTATTTTTAGGTAGTGTTCTTTTTTGTTTTTAAAAATTGTAATATACTTTGGGAAACCAACTTTTTAGGTAAAACTGAGCTTCATGTTGGTTTGAATGGGGCGCACGTAGTCGTCGCTGCACTCGAGGTAGTTGCCCCGCAAAATGTCCAGGTCGTGGTTTCGTTCTAGACACAACGCGATGCGGCGTTTTGGCACCTCGGGCAGTCTTTTGGTTCATCTTCTCCAGCTTCTCGAATTCCTTCGACAGTTCCAATTCAGAGGAAGTGCCTTCGTCTTGTATCGGAATGTCACCGATGTAACGCACTGCGCTGCGTTAACTCCGAGCCACTTTCTTGCAGTCAATTCTTATATTTTCTGCATTTAGCTGAGTTTATGTTCTTTATTATATGTGTTTATAGGTGGGTAAGAACGATTGTTAAAATATTTAAAATGACATAGCCTACTTTGATTGAATAGATTGGTTTAACAGACGTTATATTTTGATTTAAGATAGCTACAAGGATATCTTTGAAAAATCTATACTTGACTACACCTTTTACAAAGACTCATTTTGTTTTCCTGTGTTATTTAAAACGGATGACTAAAGAGTCTTAAAAAATAAGACCATGTTACTCTATTTTATAAAGCCCCAAAAGCAAGAATAAATTTCTTATTACAAAGATTTCCAGATCTTTGTTTTCAGTTTTGTAATTTTTGCCTCTGGCGTTTTAAAGAAAATACCTTGTCAGAGCGTCACAAAGTATGCAACTGCAACAATGTGGTATGCACATGAGATTCAGCTCGTCAGAGGGCACACACCTCAAATTTGGCCCAAAGGGTCGGAAATTCCCCACTGCTAATGATTTTTAATAGCCAAATTGCAAGAGCAAGACCAGGTCGCAGCTGCCTTGGTCCTGGAAATGCCTCTTAAGAGCATATTTGTGGTTGGGCTCCTAGTCGACACACACACACATACACACGCACGCACAGGCACATATCCTCGATGCGGTCAATAAAGTATGCAAAGTGGTGGTGGCTGGTGGGTGGGTGGTTCCAGTGACCATGCTGACCTTAAAAACAAATTAGTGGCGCTTACTCAACAAGATTGAGTGGCTCGTGTATCGCTGTCATCGGCATCGTCATCGGTGTTCTCTTTTTTTTCGAACAGAGACACTATTGAAAGGTGTCTGTATTAAATTAAATAACTCCATTGTAGAAGAGTTGAGGTAAAAATTTTATCATAACTTATTTTACGACATCTATTATGGTTTAAGAAAAGGAAATATAAGTCCCGTAAACATAGATTTCATATATTATTTGATTTATATATCAATGTTTTTGTTTACCAAAAAAAAAAAAAGAAATTTATTACTTTTAATAACCCTTAATATTTGTCTTTCTTTTGCTTTCAATTTTATAATTGTAAATACTTTTATTTATATTTTTTAGTTATCATTTATAATAGTATTCATTACAGAAAGTATCAGCATCAGAAACTTTAAGTCAAAGTGATGGTCAAAAATGATCCTTGAACAAAATGTACTCTATTTAATTATTAAAATGTTGCCATTTGGTTTATATATTTGAAGCTACAGCAGTTTATGCCAAATCCGGTATCTAGTTATAAACCCCTTTATTTGATGTTTTCTCCGCCACTGTCCATTGACTACGCACTCTTTTCGTGCAACCAAAGCAAAAAAAAAAAAAATGAAAAAAATCGGAACTTAATTAATGAAAGAGCCTGCTTCCGTTGCTCCTTGATTCTGTGAGTCCTGAATCCTGCTCCGCTGCCAGAGTGCATCTATTTATAGGTCCCTGATATTAAATGATGAATATTCATGCGGTTGCGGGGGCAGATGGATGACGGGGATGAGAACTACGACCACTCTGATGACGCTGCAAATCAACAGTCGAGCATAATTTTTGTTAATAAAAGCGTGTAATAATTTGCTGCCAGCCAACATGGAGGGGGAAAGTGCGCCGCATGTGTTGCAAATGAAATTATGTAAATGTGACAGCAACAGCGGCAGCAACAGATATGTATCTGCAACTGAATTTTGTATCTTTTTGGGCCGCCGGCATCGGTTTACCCACGATCAACAATGGAACAGAGGGGAACAAAGGGGAACAGAGGTCGACATGCCCTGCCAAAACATGGCTTAATGTTGATTAGATGCATTAAACATGCAGAAGCCCCAACAACAGCAACCGCTGTTCTTGTTGTTATTTCGGGGAGCACAATAAACGGAAGCATAAAATAGATATGGGCAGTGCGTATTTGCTGGTTTTGCGTTGGGGGGAAATGAAATTAGTGCAACCTTTTAACTTTTGCGCGGCAATTGAATAACTTTAATTGGTAATAAAGCTAAGCCCGCATGGAGCCGGAAATTGCGGAATTGCAGCTGGCAAAGCCAATTGCCAATCGGCAATCACCAGTGCCGCATCAAAGGGGCAACTATTCGCATTTTTCCGATTTTCCTCACCCCTTTGGCCGCAAGCTGTTTACGATCCTGCCAACTTTAATAGTAAATAACAACAATAACAAGCGCCGCAGGAGCAGCTGTGCAAAGTTTCAGAACAATACAAAATGGGAAAAAAAAGAAAATACAACGAAAAGCGGCAGCAGCAGCAGCAGACGAAGAAAAACCAGAAAAAAGAAAAGTTGGAAAACACTTTACTTTGATGACCGTCCAAGTCTTTTGCTCTCGAC